CTCTAACTTTCAATAGCACATCTTCTCGTTTATAAAATAAATGCGAATTTCAGTGTGTCACTGTGTCACATTTTTTCAACTTTACTCCTAGAGTCTGTAAGCCAAAATATTATACCATTTTGGAATGAGGTCGACTCTGTGAGCAAATGAAAAACATTCCGGACCGGATCCGAACCCACAATCCTGAAATTTTGGATACACAAGTTTTCATTACTACGAGTCGAAAATTTAAATGTAATGTCAATCATCATCTTCTGTCTTCTTGAATTCTGTACTTTTATTGTCCTCTCTGTTTCTTTCTCTCTCAGTAAGCCCTTAGATCCTAGTTTTATCACCTTGCTTGGAGCGAAATGATAAAAAATGCATTTTTTAATCGGTATCATCTCATTCAAGGCAGCAAAGTCACTAAGACACAAAAGGTTAGAGGGTGTGGAAAAATCAGGAGGAGAAACATTAATAATGAGCGGGAAGACAAAAAAATAATCAGGAAAACAGTAGATAGTGATTTACATTGCATTTAAATTTTTGAAGATTAAATTTGTCTGGAAAACATGGAGCCAGAAGGGGGACCTACAAGTGAGAAAAGAAACTGTTAGCATAGAATTTAAAGTTACATCTAGCCAACTCAAATGTAAATTGATGAGACCTCAACGCCAGTCTAGTACTGCGTTTAAATTTAAAAAAATGTTTAAGTATCATAGTGAAGAGCTTATCCAAACAATTACTATGAAAATATTTATAGGAAAAGACACAGGGAGGTGGTTGGAAAGTGACTGAAACCGAGCTGTCAGATCAGGACCAATAATATTGCTGATTCTTCTTTGGATTTTATCAAGGAGGTCAAGGTAAATAGCAGATCCTTGATAAAATCCGAAGAAGGATCTACAATGTCATTGGTCCTGACAAAATGGTTATTTTTTTAATCGTTTTCACACCAAGCAAGGCAGTAAAGCCACTAAGACGCAAGATATTATTCGGTGTGGAATAATTAGGAAGAGAGACATTAATAATGAGTATGAATAGAAAAAAAGTAATCAGGAGGACAGTAGATAGCGACTGACATTGCATTTAAATTTTTGCAGTTGGCTTCACTAACCAGCAACTATGAGCCTTACACGAACTTTCTAACAATATCCCGAGGCGAGAACGGTGGAACGAAAACAATATATCATCGCAGATTTAATAAAGTGTTTCTTTGCTTTAGTAATCCTTAATTATCCCACTGAAACTGTATTATCCAAACCATGTGTTGAATACACAATTATGATTACATGTGATACTATTTGTTGTTACCGCGGTAAAACATAGGAAAATTTTCTTATGGATAGAAGAAGCGTTATACTGAAAGACTATAGAAGAAGAAGGGTTAATGCTTAAAATCCGTGGGAAAAGATTGACGATTTAATAGACGGCACCTGGAATTGGTGTGTCAAGGATTTGAACAATGGAAAATGACGCAGAATTAGAGGGTAATGATGATTGACATGTGCTCTATGCAGCTGAAAATGCAAGCTGTAAAGCGAAAACATCATTTTCGTAAACAACAAATTTAGAGTTGATTTCTCCTGGTTGAAAGATGAGTTGGAATACCAGGAAGGGTGTGGATAAGCCACCCACGCTCACTGAGGAGATCTAGTGAGAGATGATAATATGAGAGAATGGAAGAAGGTAATTCCCCAGAATTTATGAAGTAAGTTGACAACAAAGAGGATTTACCGAAATCCCCCTATGCGTCATGCCTCGCGCCCGTTTGAACAAATGTCAATAAATACGAATGCGCGAAGCGTAATCGTCAGATTAGAGACGGAGACAGGAGAGAGACGGTAGAGAATTTGTCCCAGCCACCGTTCGTGATGCATCCCACGTGATTGCCTGCTGAAGAGAACTCCACGACTTCATCCTTTACCATAGTCAACATCAATATCACTTCCGATTTAGATGCGGGTTAGGCTGATAATTAACTGCATGCGAACTCTGATATAACCAATTATTGTACGAAGGAGTGATATTAAAAACAAAGGATTTACTTTTGTTCAATTTATCCGAGTGTTATTTTTCCACTATACGTCTTCGCCTTGCTTGGACCAACCCAGCACGAAGATACCTGCGACGATTCGATCTTGGCTGCCTTATGATCAAACTTAAATCACACCGTGGGATAAGGCAGGTCTGAGATTGAAGCGGTCATTTCAGCGACCACTCGCGGTTTTGGATTTTTGGGGACGATCGGGGAGGGTGTTGTACGACTACAGTCTCTCTGTGCCTTTTTTTAATAAATACTTTCATGGTAATTGTCGGATAGGCTCAACGCTATGTTACCTAGACTGTATGAATAGAAACGCAATACGAGACTGGCGGCGAGATTTCATCAATTTACAGTTGAACTGGCGAGATATGGCCGTAACTTCTATACTAACAGTATCTTATCCAGCATTTCTCGCTTGCGGAACTCCCTTCCGGGTCCCATCCATTCCAGCCAACTTTAATCTGAAAATGTTTAAATGCAATGTCAATCGTTATCTACTGTTCTCCTGACTGCTCTTTTCACTTTCTACTCATTACTAATGTTTCTGTTCCTAATTCCTCCACATCCTGTAACTCCTTGCGTTTTAGTGGCTGTACTGCTTTGTTTGGGGTGATACCAATCAAAAAACCAAAAACTAAAACGAAAACACCATAATCACGCACAACCGTTTGACCCTACTAAACAATTGTCTCTAAACTTTCATTAAAAAAAATAAATACAATATCTATCGCTATATCTGATTGCTCTTTTCTCTTTCTACTCATTACTAATGTTTCTATTCCTAATTCCTCCACAACTTTTAACCCTTTGAGTGTTAGTGGTTGTACTGCCTTGCTTGGAGTGATACCACTTAAAAAGAAAACACCATAATCACGCACAACCGTTTAACGCCACTAAACTATTGTCACTAATCTTATAACTTTTCATATATATTTTATATCTCGTCAGAATACATCTATCTTGCACATTTATAAATATACCTTTCATCCGTGCCATGAATATTGCTGCCATATCGTGTCTTGGTCTCAAGTTATATATTCTCGACAAAATCCAAACTATCTATAATAATAATCTGGTATCTCTAATTCAGTCACTTTCCCACAGACGTGACGTGGCTTCCCTCTGTCTTTTCTACTAATATTTTCATGACAATTGTTCTAATGGCATCTTCTCCTTCGTACCTCGATCGCATGGATGTAAGCGTGCCACACGGTTGGCAAATAGGTTTCATCATTTTGAAATAGATAGCAAATTTTATTATAATAATTTCTTTTCTTGCACTTCTCGCCTGTGAAATTCTCTTCATGTTTCCTACTTCCCTGCCACCTACGGCCTTCAAAAAATCTAAATGCAACGTTAATCGCCTTGTTTTGTGTTCCTGAATCCGCTGCTTTTATTTTATTGTCCTTTCTCCTCGATAAAGTCTTCTCATTCTTTCGCTCACAGTAGACACGTAGAAGATAAGCTCTATAATTACCATTAATTCATTCATTCTAAACGAATGAGAATCGACACCACTTTTCTCCTCTACACACACAAACAAAAGAGATTCTCTCTATAGGACAAACAGTTCACGCGAACAGGTCGTTAACACTTGCATCAACGAAAATTTCATCTCTTTTCCCTTTTTCAGGCTATAATAGTAATATTTATCTTTTAGCATTCCAAAAAATTTGAGGTAAGAAAATCCCACAGACTTCTCTTATTTTCTTACTATCTGGACATTCATTACAGGCATTTATATATATAAAAAAAACTTACTTGTACTTATTCTTATATCAGATTCCGATCCATATCTGATCTACATTTGGCTCCAAACTCACAATTTTACTCAGTTTTGCTATCTCTTGTGTCTCCAACAGTACATAAGAACAGATAATAAATAAAACTCGTTTTGTTGTTTCCATGTCTATTAGGGAATTTATAATTATTTAGAATTATAACTCCCCTACAGGTGTCAAGAGAGAAAAAAAGAAGATTTTTAATACGCCATTTTTGCTTTTGTATACTAAAGTTTACCAAATTTTTATTAGAATCGACTGAAAAAATCTGACTGTTTAAAAATAATTTATCACATTTTCCAAATTATCGTTCGTCCTGGGTATGACGATAAACTACATCCAGGAGCAAGGTAAGAAACTCCCAGACACATCTTGCATTTTTCGGCTTAATTATTTGGATACTCATTACACGCATCTATAAATTAATTATAGTGTCAAAAATAGTTATGATAAAATAATTATAAGAATTATATTATCATTAATTTATTCATAATAAACAAATGAGAATCGATCCCCACCACTTTTCTCCTCAAGACACACAAACATGTGAAATTCTCACTATCTAAAAAGCAGTTCCCACGGACAGGTCATTAACACGTGCGTCAAAGGAAATTTCATCTCCTTTTCAGGCCTTAATAGTAACATTTATCTTTTAGCGCTCAACAAAAATTCGAGGTAAAAAAAAATCCAAAAACAAACATCTTTTATTTTCCGACTAAATTATCTGGACGCTCATTACACACATTTATTAAAAAAACAAACATATGTGAACGACTGCTTATTTCTTATCTTATAATTTTATCGGATTCTGATCCAATATTTGATCTACATTTGACCTCAAACTCACAATTTTAATCAGTGGTACTACCTCTGGTGTCTCCAATACAACGCGACAACCAGATAATAAATAATACTTGTTTTGCTGTTTCTCATTTTTACGATTATTTTTGCATAAATAAATGTTAGAAGGTTTATAATTACTCAGAGTTATATCTCCCCTAAAGCTTCTTGGTGGTCTACAACCTTCATTAGTCATTCATTCACTGTATTACTAAACATAACATACATTTTTTTACTTCACAGACATCTTTATTTGAATACTGTCTCCATCTTCATAAAACTCTTAACGATTGTTTTTTTTTTTTCTTCTTCTCATCTACATTGCAGAGCGTCGGGGATCATGAACAATTGCACCAATTCTCTCCACACTCTTCTCTCCCTTGATATGACCATGTTCTCCGCCAGTGTTCTCCGTGGCTCTGATGTCATCTGTCCAGCCTCGCCTTGGTCTCCGCCTTGGTCTCTTGCCATCGATGCGAGCCTCGAGTGCAAAGGTTCTGACCCTAATGACCTGGCTAAAATATTGTATTGAAGTTTAATATGTCACAAATACGTCTAAAACAATAAGACTTAATACAATATAGAATAATAAAATAAACTTGAATAATGAATTTACTCTATTATCTGTAACTAGCAGTAAAGCCCGGCGTTGCTCGGGATTTTATGTAGTTAAATTGTTTTGGGGGTTAAATTATTGAAATTGGGTACGTATCCGCAGATGTTGAGGTCACTGATAGGCCGAGAATCTCACTGGTAGCAAAATCAATGAGATCAAGGGCAACCAGTTGAGATAGGTGGCCGCTGTGTTGCTGTTCCGTTCTTACCCGAAGACTGCCACCCGTTCATAATCGGTCAAGATTTTTAATTCTGGCAATGTGAAATAGTGGTTGCGTTTTCACTGTAAGACTCACCCCTTCACTATTAAGTCCATAAATTTTCCCAGTTTTAATCGTCGGGGATCATGAACAATTAAACCAATGCTCTCCACACTCTTCTCTCCCTTGATATGACCATGTTCTCCGTGGCTCCGATGTCATCAGTCCAGCGTCGCCTTGGTCTCCGCCTTGGTCTCTTGCCATCGATGCGCCCCTCCAGTGCAAAGGTCCTGACCCTAATGACCTAGCTAAAATATTGTATTGACATAAAATTTGTCACAACTACGTCTAAAACAATAAAAGACTTAATTAATACAAAATAGAATAATAAACTAAAACTTGAATAATAAATTTACTCTATTACATGTAATGATTGCCACAAAGAATACATCGGAGAAACCTCAAGGATTTTAAATAAAAGATTATATGAACACAAAAAGGATCTTTTACAAAACAACACAATAAATGCGTTAGTTACTCGCCGTAGTGACTGACTTTAATTTTGATTTTGTTTTTAAATCTACTTTAAAAGAGGAAGCAACTAATTCAGACGAAAAGGCGTTAATCGCAAGATCACCCACAGTAGATATTTAACCAGTATCTTATAAGATTCCACCTTTCTAGGCCGAACTTCTATTATCACGATATAGGATTTTTAACAAAATTGATAAAATTGAAAGAAAAAGAAACTAAATGAAATATATGACGTTTTCGACGGAGGAGAGGTGTCTTCAACAAAAAATCGAAAATCGCTTTTTTCACTGCATATTATTCATATCATATCCAAGTACTTTACAAAAAAAAATAGAGCCGATTACACAATATTTCAAGCTCAATTTAGGTTTATAGTTCGTAACCATGCAATGACATGAGATAAAATAAAACCGTAGATTTGTCTGCTGAATATCATTACATTATTGTTACAGAATTATTGTGAAGTCATTAAGGTCTTTTGTCAAAAGCATTTTATTTTGGGTCGTATATTAATTTAAAATATTCCTTTTTTACAGGCTTTATTTTTGAAATGGAATAAGAGCATTCTAAATTTCAGAATTTCATTATTACCCATCAAAATGACTGGAAGAAAGCGATCCAAAAATAACAATGGAAAAGAGAGGTAACAAAGCGTAAACGAAATAGCTCCAGTTTGTTCAACTTAGGAAACTTAGCATTGCAACCAAAGTATTCTAAAATGCTGTCAATAACAAAGGAGAAAATGAAAAAATACCTGACAACAAATCGAATATAGCATCAAAATTTATATTATTTTTATTTATTTGTTATGTAACTAAATACATAACTGTCAACAATGTTTCCGTAAAACTTGATATTTTCGTTCATAAATTCTTAATGAATATTATTATTGTTATTATTTTATTTAAGCGTGATGCAGTCTTACATTTACAATTCCTTACGGCTGAAAGAAAAGAAATGTTGATTGAAACTGTCCAAAACATTTAAGCGTCGATTGGCGTAAAATTATCAAATGTGAATATGTCCTTCCTCCGCAGAACGCATCATATACCCAAAACAGATATTGAAAAATTTAAAATTTTAAGATATTTAAAATTCTTACCGCCCCCCTCTCCCCCATGCGTATGTATAGTTACACCAATGTAAACTTCAATTTAGTCTGATGATATCCTAAATGGCGAAACGTGTCACACGTAAAAATGTATCCACTTCGTCATAGGTCTTAACTAAAATTGTTCTTCATTTCCAAAGAGTAATATAATGTTTTCACACACACACACACGCGCGCGCGCGCACACACACACATATATATATATTATGAAAATATAGAAAATGATTTTATCATATATCTCGTGTATCATACGAGTTCCTTTTTTGAGAAACCAAATTACAATAGACTAACTTCTTTTCCTGCATCTCTTTATTCCATCTAGTTAAATAAGTTTAAAAAAATGTAAAAGATAATGATAAAAGTATCGTTAGTAACGTTATATTCGTTGTGTAAACGTGTACAACCAAACGAGAAACAGCTAAACATCTTATAAACGTATACAATAGAAAAAATGCATATTCGCTATGTTTGTATTTTATAATAAGATACTAATACGTGAATATTACATGCATTATTATTGGATGCAGTTAAGTAAAAGATCAGTTTTATCAAAATTATGTTTATTTGAAATACAGCTAGACGTTTTAACTAAAGTAAATGGATAGTTTAGTCAACAGTGTAGCCAGGTTCAGCGGTACAAAGGCTAATTTTATATCTCGTATATGATGCTACCCTCTTAAAATTAGCTTCAAAATTAGATCTTCAAATGTCGCATGATACGCGAGTATATACGGTAACAAACAACCTTATAAGAATATGGTTTGGAATTTACTTAAATCCTGTCTAGATTATAGAAATGGTTAGCATATGCAGTGGCCAAAAATGGGGGATGGGTTTAATACTAAAGAACAATACAAAAATGATCCCTCACTTTATATCACATTTCATTTGATTAGCAATTTGGAATTCAACCTATGAATTTACTATGTCTAAGAAATGGGGATTGTGTTTAATACCAAATAACTGATCCCCCACTATATACCACCCCTTCCTTTGATTATCTATGAGGATTTATATAGTATAACTAATTTCTCTATAGTAAATGGATATATAGTTTGGTCAACCGCGTAGCCAGGGCCAGCAGTACATACGCTAATTTTATATCTCGTGTATGATGCTACCCTCATAAAATTATCTTCAAAATTAAGTCTTCATGAGTTGCATTATACGCGAATATATGCGCTATATGACAAATGAGCGTTTCATTGAAATTAAATTACACGTTTCGACCTTACAAGGCTTCATCAGATCCAAAGCGAAAGTAAGAAATATGTGTGTCTTTGTATTTGCTTATATACTTAAATAATAAATCGTTAGTACACAGAAACATAGTTGTTATTTCGTTTTTGATCCGATGAAGCTTAGTAAGGTCAAAACTGGTAATCATACTTTCAATGGAAGTGCTTCTCATTTATTTATATATATATATATATATATATATATATATATATATATATATATATATCTGTCTATATGTCTTAGATGAGGTATTATGATTACTTACATTATTTACTGATATTTGGATATATTTGGATATATTTGAACGAAGTAGCTAAGTGGTTTTAGCTACTATAATCAAGTAGAATACGGTAGCAGTAATCGACTGGTACACGTCGTAGACGCAGGTAAGAAGTGTAGATCAATGGCGTAGTCCAATGGGCGTCATTATAGACTTAGCTCTCAGACTAAGGCTCTTTGACTCTCCGTCCGTCGGTATTTATGACGGACACCAGCCATTCATATTCGAGTGGGAGGTTGGGGAACACAGGTGTATGCATATTTCGTTATATCATTTACACTATTCGGACTGTTATTCTCATTTTCATTGCCATATTCACAACATCTTCACATATTTCGTTCACCGGGGTAGATTGTTCTAGTTTCACGTGCCATGCCTCTTCCGGATGTCTCAGTTATTTCCCTTTAACTCAACTCCCCAAGTTTGTTTCACCACTGCTGTGTCCTGGTATTGAACTCACAACTCTCTGGATCTAGTCACTGGATCTAAACAAAGTCTTTATCCGCTAGGCCATGTGTAAATAACTCCAAAATTACTATCACCTGAAGAAGGCCAGAGGGTACAACAGCCGAAACATTGTGAATATAGGATTGAAGATGAGGATAACAGTCCGAATAATGTAAGTAATATATATATATATATATGTGTGTGTGTGTGTGTGTGTGTGTGTGTGTGTGTGTGTTTCGTTGAATACAATAGACAGTTATTTAGCGTTTTCAATATTCTTACATTTTTTCCGTTTGGCGTGAGTAAGGGAGCACATAAATTTTCCGCATTGTCCATTGTCGTAAGCGCTTTCGCCAACTTCTTTATTCATTTTCAATATCGACAATTTTTGCTCTCATACCAAACGTAAAATGTCAAATTAATAAAATTTTTCTTATCGGTCATATTCAACGAAACATGTTTAAAAGGAATGCTGCTACTATATATATATATATATATATATATATATATATATATATATATATATATATATATGACGTCACACATTATGAAATGGACAAAGTCCGACAATTATTTTAAGACAAAAAAATCAGAGCATTTGCTTAAAAATTTGTATCTATAAAAGAATGTTAAACAAGTTTAATATTCTTTTTTATAGATAAAATATTTAAGCAAATGTTTGATTTTTTTTTATAATAAACAGTATTAAACAACATTTACCGGCCTGAATGTCTGAGAAACAGAAAATATCCTGTCGGAGGACGAATATTTTATGTGAAAATTTTCGGCCATTCAGGCCGGTAAATATTGTTTAATACTGTTTATTATAAAAACCGAGAATTTACTTAAATATTTGTATCTATAAAAAGAATGTTAAATATATACATACATACATACATACATATATATATATATATATATATATATATATATATATATATATATAGTTAAGTAATGAAAATTTTAGTAATCAGTATGGATAATCCCAAGGAGGATGTAATCGAAAGAGCTCAATGTCAAATCAGAGTAATTATTAATTCAATTT